AAACAAAACAAAACAAAACAAAACATCACATAGTGATAATTCTGATACAGGTGAAAATCATGCTGGAAGGTCCACAGTGAGGCAACGCAACATGCAGCAATTTAGGGAGAACATGTGAGAGATGATTATTCATAAACAGCAGCAACGGTGTATCTTTCTAAATCCTCTCCTGAACAGGAAGCATTGTCTGGTCAAAAACAAATACTGATTTTGAAACTCTTACCTATATCTACCATATCTTTGGCCCATCGTTCCCAGAATTCATTTGAATTTGAGGACCAGTACAAGCCATCCAGCAAATTCCTAGTAAAGATGTTTGTCCAAAGACCTGCAAGTCAAACCACATGGGAAAAATACTGCACCGCTGTATGTTAATCACTGACTATTACAAGTATCCATGCTACATATTATTGGCCCACCTGAACTGACCCTGTCATGACACAGCTTAAGCAGTAGGTGTCACAGAGTTCAAACATAATGGTGTCAGCACTTCAGTGCTCTTTCTCAAGAGATAACTACACAAGACCACTCACCATATAGTACAGAGTAACAAAATAAGAGGTATCAGTCACCCAAACGATGTTTTAGAGTGTTTACCGTGTACTTGTGAAAGAAAGCTGGCTTTGAAAGCATGGTGAAGCCATAGAAGCAAAAGTTCCTTCTTTAAACAGATCTATTCTTTAAATTTATCTAAGACCCATTTTTCCCTTTCAGGCATGTTCTGTTCCTGTGGAGTTCAACTGGTCCAGGATCAAAATAGAATTGGCTCCACATGTGAGTCTGCTTTTGGAGAAGAACGAACTATCCTTTGTCATTAAGCCCCATGCCAGGTACTCATGTGAGGAACAAATTCAATCTCTAGCAGACTTCACAGTGAGAGAAATACGATTTTTGTCTCCACTGGACCCTTGCTTTTGGTATCAAAAGCTAAAATTCTTACAAGGATTTAAAATCTGCTTGGCGCAGATGGATTCCTCTGACTAGCTGCTTTTCGCCCTTCACTTTTAGAGGCAGAACAGCCAGTCAAAGCAGTTGTTGGAGGTTAAAAGGGCTTCCTTCATCCTTAGGGGCAGGGAAGATTAGTGACACCATTCTCAACCCACAAAGCTCAGATGGTTCTGACCTTTGTGGGTTGTTCTAGATGAGTTATATTTTATTTTCAGCTCCTTCCAATTCTACCCCAGCAATGCATTGTCTAGAAATATAGTTGATGAAGCTGAAGAGTTGATGACTGGTCAGGGAAGAAAGGCTTATTATTTCCTCAACTTACCTTCTCCACCTTCTTGTTTGGTTCAGAAAATGGGAAGGGGAGCCATGCTGCGACTTTCCCAAATCTGCCCAGGTTAAAAGGGAGGACAGGAGGAAAGAAGCTTTACAAAGAGCAGAAGTGTACAAAAGGGGTAAAAAGCCCATTGAATCAAGACCTGGAGCAGACCTGCTGGCAAGGAGTGTTGTACACAGACCAGCAGCTAGCTAGTACCATGCTTTCTACCATGTTGTGATTAACTATATTGCACTGTTAGGTCACCTTCCAGATAGCAGATCCGAGATTCTGGCAGCTTCTTCACTCGCCTTCCCATGAAGAACTCACTGTCAAAATATTCTGAACGAATGGAGGCTCCGTATTTTGGTATGGCCACCTCGTAAGGAGAGAATTCCGCCCACTCTACAAGAGAATTGACACATGGCATGTTTACTGTAATAAAAATAAGAAAACAAAACCTTCCCCTGTGGATAAAGCTATCCACAAGCTCCATGGATCTTGCTTGTCTCAACAGCTCTGTACTATCAGTAGCTTTGTATTGCAAACTACACTTTCTAGTCCCGTACAAACTGAGAGATAATTTGCATACAAAAGGAACTAGCTTTTTCACCTCAGAAAGAGTCTAATGTTAGCTCCAAAAGCTTAGATATATATTTCTATATAAAGATTCTGGGATTCCACTTGCCTCTAAATCAAGAGCATCAAATGTACAACATGCAAGTGTGATCCAACCTGCAAGGAATGACTGGCATGAAACCTCTACTAACCCAAACCTGTCCGTCTACATGATACAACAAAGCAGCCTGAAGACACATCAGCTCCAAACTAGAAAGTATCACAGCGTGGGCATGGCCATGCAGTTTCCTGACTCAAGCTGCCCTGTACAGGTATTGCAGTAGAACAGTAGCTATAAATCTAACCAAATGTAAGTACTAACTGTTTTTTCTTTCCAGTATCTGCTCATTTTAATACCTTTTGTTGAATGTAGCCTGTGTCCCTCTAAAGGGTGTCATATCACACCCATGACAGCAATCATACTCCACTCCATTTTCATACCCTCATCAGTGTAGTATTTAGGGAAGCGACAATTACATTTCACAGCACCTCTATAAACTAAGGAACCATCAAAGCCATTTAATAGGTGTGGAACTGAGGCAGAAAAAGATCACACGATTTGCCTACACTCACTCACAATGTCTGTGGCAAAACTAGAACTTCAGCCCAGATCTTCAGAAATGCCCTGTTTGTGCCTGAGAATGTTATCCAGCAGATCTCCTCTTTCTAATCAACACCCAGCAGTTTGCAAAAAAGACAAACATTTTATTAAAAGATGAATACTGAGTCAGGGTAAGCAACAGATGTATTCCCCTTTTATTCTCCACACATGCACCCTCCCTCCATATTCTCTTTAGTCCCTACTCAAACTCAGAAGAAACTCTAGGAATACTTACCTCTAAATTTGAAAGTACTGAACTTTTCCTCTTTCACATTGAGGACCGCATAGAAGGGCAATGGGTTTTGTCCATGCTCCAATGCCTTGCGCTGGTCTGTGAGTTTGTACTTTCTTGGCTAACCGAAGAGATAAAAAAAATCACAGTAAACCTCTGGAAGAGCATAAGGCAAAAACACTGACACAATCTACCTGAGTACAGATAGATAACAGATGTTTTACAACCCAGAGGAATCTGTGAGTCACATTTTTATAATTCCTCTTAATATAATTTTACATATTCCTTCATGTTCCTGCACTTTCCTTCCTGGTTGCCTTTTTGATACCTAGTAACCTCTTCATTAATATCTAAGTGCCTTGATTGCGTCCCACAGATCTTTACTAAGGCTGAGACTAACGTTCACATGAGGACAGATTACTCTAACTCTGAAGTGTGCAACCAGAAACAGACTTTAAAAGACCTGACTTTTTGGGGGGGGTTGCTCAGTTCTTTCTGAAAGTTTGCCTACTGAAGTTGCTAGCTGTTGGGCATCCTAGTACAGAGACACCTTCAAACCATTAGCTACCCTGGAAAATCCTGGCTACAAGATCCTCTGTCATTGTTTACAAATCACACTGGGATGCCTCAGTCACTTTGGATTTGTTCCACACATTACGTCATGCCCTCAAATAGTAAAGCTCTAAAGAAAATGAGTGGATGTTTCCCAAATGCGTGGCAGGACCATGTACGTACCCGTTCATGTAAGAACATTTCCTGAACAAGTGACCACAGAGTTGTAAAAGATGACACATGTCCTGCTTTTGCCCTTTCAGCGAGTTCCTTGTGATAATACTTCAGATGCTCTATAGACATAAGGTTGAGCTTGCATTTTGTCACTTGTTCTTTTACTGCCTTAAGCGGCCCCTCCAGAGTCTTCTGTGACCAGTCGGCATGCTCATACAGGTCTGCTAGTGTCCTAAAGAACAGAAACGTGAGAAAATCATCCACTTATTTGGATGCTTTTGGAAAATTACTATATTTACCCAAACACTTTCATCAAAGAAGAGAATCAGCAAGCCTAAACTGAAGTTATGATCGAGAGCCAACAGCTTTACCAGGGAATTACGTTCATTTATTAACAATGTAAGACTTTGAAAGAGATGCATCTCTCTCACTGTGTGGAAATGTAGTGTCACAGTAATTTCAAATACAAATCTCATTTTCTATACGCACCATGTTGAGCCAGAAGCCCCGGTGACATAGGTTACACAGTCCAACAGATTTAGCTTCTGAAGAGCTAAGAGGTGGCCAAACATAGCTGACATTGCTCTGAGGCCTCCGCCTGTTGCCATAACAGCTATTACTGGGACCTGTTCAAAACATAAGTATTATCTTCAAAAAGTTACTCACTTGCCTACTTGGAAAAGTCTAATTACAGCTCTTATAATTTCCTCAGCAGACTTCACTGGAGGACAATGAAATCAAATCAACATTCAGCCAATCTTTACAAGTACCTTCTTTAAATTAACCTCCAGATGCTCAGTGGATACCCTTAACCCCAAAGCTTGGATGAGTTTAAATATGCAGTGATTTTAACTTCCCTTCCTGCCCTCGTTCTTTATAATTGGAATTGCAATGATTAATAACAGATAATGATATGATTTTATTATAAATAACACAAATGCAATAAATTGCAGAAATTGCAATAAATGTAATTAAGTATGGATTCAAGGAAGTCCCAAGAAGAGTTCAGAAAAAATATATTAAGCAAACAAAATGATTCTTTGGACATCATCCATTCAACAACTATAATTCCAGCAAGAAAATAAATGTTCATTTAAAAATTCACCCTGGATCTTGGCAACAAAACATACTTCAGCTGGAGCTTGTTATAAAATGTTCTTTCTCCATCCTAAAGCATTTTGACTTTTTGTGAAAAGAGTACTGAAAATGAAAAAAAAAGGTAAGCCTAAAGAAGGGACATTACAATGATTTCATAAATATGTATGTGAGGTGAATTTCAAATATTCCTGTTTTCCTACTTGGTTTGGGTTGTCTGGCTGGACTGTGTCTAAAACAATGTACCAAGGCCTCACATCTTGCTGACCCGCTGCATCACACTGTTGGAAACTCTGGCTTTGAAGAGTGGTATATTATGTCCTCGGGAATTTGACCCATTGAAAAGAATGGAGGCATAAATAGCTGAGCTGAAATTTTAGATGAGTATGGGGTATGCCACACTGAGAACTTCTGTTCTGCTGCCATTCAAATCAATGGGCTTGTCATCAACATGCAAAAACTACTAGGAATTTTGTGGGGAGTTGTGCCAATCCTAATTCAATAGACCCACACCCCATGCTTGGATTCCAATTCACAGACCTCGTGTCCATGCAGATCTCTTTCCAGATGAAGAACCCTTTTCAGGGCACTGGCAACCACTCTCCTCCTTTTTTGCAAGAATTCTTGCTCTTCTCGGCACAGATCATATCCTAAACGCACGTCTAGTTTTTCTGTGCTGAAACATAAAAATCCAGAGGCACAGGACTGGTGTTTAAAATGCATATGGATGTATTTTCAGCAACTGCAGTCTATTAAATATCATAAAAAAACATGATTCACTGCTCAGATTTAGAGACAGAAATGCAGCTTCCAGTTTCAAAGAAATCAACTGCTTTGCTTCTACGTGGTCTCTGTATGTTCTGATGTTTCAGTGTAAGTTTTACTGCCAGCTAAGGATAGCAAATTTGAAAAAAGAAAGGCTTCTTTGTGTCTTTCAGTAGCTTTGTAAGCTGAATCCTTTCTATTTCTTCTTCATATAATTTCTGAGCAAAGGGTGACTTGAACCTAACAAGGTCTTTCATGGGGATTTGTATCACAGATTTATACAGAAACAGTACAATGAAAGAGATACTCAAATAATTGTGGTTTATTTGTTGTTTGTCTCATTATTTTACAGTGTAACATTTTGTCTTCCCTAGCTTGTGCTTCTTTCTATTGGTATCACCAGAGCCACAAATCTATTTTCTTAAGAATAGCTGTGTGGTTTGAGTAATAATATGGACTCTGGATGTTCTTCTTATTTCAAATTCCCTTTTCCTTCTGCCTTCTTCCCGCTTCTGTCTCCCTTTTGAAGAAGCCTCCAATCTCAGTCTTTGGTTCTTTGACACCAAGGACACTCAGTGACTAAGTTCCTCACTGTTTGAAATTCTCATAAATTTTTTTTTGCATCTTGGCGTGACTCTTTTGCCCCGAGGACATTTAACTTTGATCTGTTGTGCTGACTCTATTGGTGACTTAACTATTGTTATATTTTGCCCCTAGTCTTGTGCATTCCTTGTATCTAAATAAAGGATACTTTGTTCTAGAATTCACAGTTCAACGAGCAATAAAATCTTCAGAGAAAAAAATAGTCCTCTTACCAATCATTTAGCTGGAGGTACAACTGCAGTGGCACATTCTGTAAACAAAGAAATGAGAGCAGGAACGTGAATGACTGGGAAGAAGAGAAGTTTTGAAATCCCGATTTTCAGTGCCTCCTGGCATGCCCCACCACTCCCACCCTGCATACAGTTTTTTGGAAAACTGTAGCGGGAAAGAGAAGGAAAGCAACTAAACACCAAACGTATTCTACAGAGAAGCGAAAGAGGCAGAAGGAGTCAAAGTGGCTACATGACCGGGCTGTGAAACAGGATTTCTTCCTCACTGTGAATATACCTCCACGAACCATCCTAACCCAGCAGCAGTAGCACATTGCCACCCTCCTATTTTTGCGGATGAAGAACAGCAGCCAGATAAAGACAGTGATAGAAGAGGAAATACAAATCACCACATCCTTCCAAAAACCTACTGGAGGTAAAAGAGAGTCCAAACAGAGGGGTGGGGAATCACTAGTGGTGAGACAGACATTCATTCTCCCTTCTCTTTACGGGAAAGGCTGCTGAGAAATTCTTCTCCTCCTATTTTTGCCTCTCATTTGCTGCAATTTGTCTGGCTGTTGTTAACAGATTCATCTGGCCACACAGCAGCATTACTACTGCTTTTAAAGCAACTTAGAGTCGTATCCCTCCACCAGTTACCATCCTGACTGTACGCATAGAAGAATGTGACAGAATTGTTCTCTGAGGCTAAGATTCAACTCATCTAACTTTAGCCATCTAAAATTTAGGTATATAGACTGAGCTAGCCACCCAGGCTTGATAAAGAGCAGTGGGGCATCCCAAAGCCCTGTTAGGGGTATTGAATATTCTCCTTTAACTGTGTAAAGACAGCAGAGGTTGGTCCTAAATGCATCTAAAACTGGCCAGGATGAATTCCCAATTATTGATTTTATTGACAGAAAATTGATATTTCTCTGAGAAAACTAATCTTTTTCACAGAAAACTTGTATTTGGACAAAATTCTCACTCAGACTTACTAATTGATTTTTTTTTAAAATGTTATGGTGTTAAATACTGAGGGTTACTCTACTTTTCTCTCCAAAAGATCACATAAATGGTGAAGCACTTACATGTCTTACAGGCAGGGTTACTTTCACTTTATGTCCAACAGGCAGAAATTTCAGCGGTACTGTTAAGGTGTCACTTAAATTGCTACTGTCATCTTCCTTATCAGAAACTTTCTACAGAGAACAAAAAACATAGGTTTTATTCACGGAATAGAAACAATCCAGTTCTTTACTGTTCTGGCGACACTGGAAATAAGCAGGCAGTATGAACAGCGGTATTGTATAGTGCCCATTACCTGCAGCCTGACTTTTAGAACTGGTTCCCAAGCCTTCACACAATGGAAGTAGAAAGTATCTGTGTCCTCCGTAGTTTTGTGTGTTCTCTCATGAGATGCAGGCACCATAAGCACGAGATTTTTACCCTCTAGTGAAAACAGATTTGTTTAGAGAATAATACCACTATTTGGGCAAAATAGCTAACAAAGTGGCAAACTTTCTGCTGGAGCCATTCTCTGTGGTAACTCCTCCGTAAGCTGCCACCTGGCAGGTCTCCTACAGCACGGGGACTGGTACTCCTGCCTTTACCCCACAGCTTGGAGTGCGCCCAGAGTCAGCACTCTCTCATACTTCCACCAGCAAAGTTTACTGTGTCCAAACTTGAGAGCTTCAAGGAAAAGACACAGAGGTCAGCGTTACAACTAGAGGCAGTTCAGGGACTTTCACTGTATTACATTTTATTGTCTTTAGAACATTCTTAGTCGTCTCTGTACCCTAAAGTGCCTCCATCTGGGTCTGAATGACTATGATAGGGTTGATTTGGTCAACTCCTCGCTTCACAGAGAAATGGGCATACCTTTCAAATATTTCCTGCTTTCATTAATGTCCACTTGCACTTCCAAGCAGCAAACCTCACGGGACTGTAAAAGACGGGGTGGAAAAGTGTGAAGATAGCAAATGCCACATCTGCAGCAAATAATGAAACATCTAGGTATAATACAGAGCCAAATAAACTGGTCTCAGTGCTGGAAACCATCCAGCTGCACAAGGGTAAATTCAGAGGTCATCATCCCAGAACAGTAGCCCAGTTACACTGCTTCAGAACTAGCTTGTCCATACCGTGGTGCATTGCCAGAGGATGTTATACCCATTCAAGTTATCCCAAAATCGGGAAACCCTGTACAACACACTGCTGCCCAAACAGCTACAAATATATCTGATAATTATTTAGGAAGGGTGGGGGAAAACACCTGATGATGAGTTTCTGTGTATTGTGGCAGTGATTCGTCTACAAGGCATCTTCTTGCTGGTCCTGATGTAGGGAGATCACGGATTTATTCCACCCTACCCTCCACCTGAGTCATTCCAGTTCACCTTTAATAACTCATGCCAGGACAGTTTTCCAAGCCATTTCAGGAACAACGCATGCCAATCATTACAGCTCTCATGCCTCACACAGAAAATGAGGGGGAAAGAACAGAATACGTGTTACTTTGCCTCAGGGGTATTAAAGGCTAGCATCTGGAAATCATGTGCAGGCTTGGAGTGGTTGGCATGAAGTACTTTGTACTCCTTAGCTGCTGGGCCAGCCCAAAGAGATAGGTAATGCACCACATGCTGACTCATACCAAAAGAGGACTCTATGTTTCAACGACTAAAATAACTCTTTATTAAAAAACTCATTTCCCAAAAAGCTGTTACGTTAGATAACCTTCCAGTCACAAGCACACTGAATACTCACTGTTGCCTTCTACAGTCTCATCCCTTTTATAACCTTTGTTTTTCCTGCCAAGTGCCATACTGTATTATATGAAACACAAGCAGTTTTCATTTTGAACACCAACAAATATGGGGTTCTGCAACATTAACAAACCACAGCTGGGCAAAATCTTCACATCTGTAATACCTGAGGACTTCAAGAAACACAGCTTCTATTTTTGCATGGAGAGGGCAACAGTTAAGCCATAACGAATGGGAATCGTCCCACATCTTTCACTTTATAATGCACACCATGCTCTTATCTATCATGGTAGCTTCTGTTCTCTCTATAAAATGTCAGATGGCTGGGGAGAAGAGGAGAGAATCAAAATAAGGACGAGTCACTCCAAGCTAAATTCATACGTGAACCTTACCACTAGGACATCATTGGTAATGAGGTGCTCTGGAGGGCCAGGACTGAAAAGACAGAATGAAAAAACAAACAAACAAAAGCTGTGTGAGCATCTGGTATGTTTTTAAAAATAGTAGTTTTATGACCTTTTCTGCTTAAAATTGAATATAGTTATGTCAGTATCACAATTTGTTTTCTAAAAGGCGTAATACATGATCACCTGCTAAGCACATGAACCAAAATGTAGTAGCCAAACAAGAAGAAAAGCAGGAGAGCCCATAAAAATACCAATGCTTGAAACTATATGCTAAGATACAGCAGAACAAAGACATATTGGTCTGTGTGGAATCACGTCCTCCTATTAACGAATGACCATATGACTTGGGGAAAGCAAAGACTACTATTAATGTATTCTGCAAATACTTATTAGGAAAGACATTTCTGACTGTTCCAGATTATAATTTACAACTGATCACAAATGAACAGCAAATAAGAATTAGCTCCCACTGTGCTATATGTATGACTGGAAAACACAGAGGTAAGTAATAAAAAGCCTTTGTCCCAGATGTTTTACCTTGTAAGACCTAGATTTGTCACTGAATGGATGTAGTTATTTAATATTATGAGTAACCTATAGAGTCTACTAACAGCATCTCTCATTAAGGCCAATACTCCAACATCACTGTGTTACAAACATTCATAAGTGCTTTCATATATCTGAAAGGACCATTAAAGTTACGTAGTATGTAATCTTTGACTTTCTGCAAAGTCCAGGGTATTTTACCAAGCACCACTTCCAGCCTTAAAACTTCTATTTCAGGTGCAGAATGTATGTAAATGTAAATAACTAGGTCTGACTTCCACGAATGGAGAATCCCCTACATGCCTTATAACTTGAATGGTGGAAGATGTTCCTCTTATTTCTAGTCTGAATCTACTCAGTCCAGTTTCCAAGCACGGCATATCATTCTGTCCTTTTTATATATCTGTCTGTGATTGCTTCCACCTTTGCAGGAAATGCTTATACATCTCTTAAGGTATCTCTCATAGGTAAATTAAATAGATTTTCTTGAGTTTCACTGTGGGAGGAATTAATCAAGAACACCAGTGATTTTCTTCTGCAGCTCTTCCATGTTTAAGAATAAGACGCTTTATTTACAGTTCCTTCTTCTAATCATGCAGTTAGTCAGTTTTGACTGGACTATATTCCTTTTTTTAGTAATGCTAAGCTCAAATATGCCAGAACGTGTAGTTTAGGTGTTTTTTTCAACCAAACCTGTGATAGCATTTAAAAGAGAGATAAAGTTTGTCTTATGGGATTTGTTCTCCTCCAGACAATGTTGATTACCACTTTGAGAGGGATGGTCTTCATTTTATTTTTTGTTCACTGTATGTTTTTTCAGTTTAACTAAGCTATCACCTAATGGGTGACTTTTCTAATACTATCTACATAACTGTATGTATACATCATGATAATAATACAAGACAAGTTTTCTGGTCTTTTAGAAACACCACAGTGTTCTAGGCATTGTTCAATTAATACTAACAACTTGAAGAGCACCTCTGTTAAATTTTACATGCATCTTGTGGACAAGTTATCACATTGTGCCAATGTTACTACGTTTCCACAATCAGAATATACATGTAGAACAGAAGGTAAGATTTGTATGAAATACCCTGAAAGGCAGAATTAGCTGGGGAAGTTAAGGTAAAAGAAGTTTGAAACAGTAATTTCGGCTCACTGGTGGGAGGAAGAGCTGGAAGAAGTTCCTCTTTCTCTGAAATATTATTGCTCCCTGGCAGATCTATACCTTTCAGCTTTGGAATTTTACTCACATTCTTTCCATCCAGAATTCCACTTCCAAACTTTCCCATTTCTTAACGCACGTCTCTTTCTAAAAAGAAAAGGGCAAAATAAATACGGATTACTGGAGGCTGCAAGACTTTGGCAGTATAGACACATCTAAAAAGCACTTCCATGGCTGACATCTCTTCCGTTAATGTTACCAAAAAAAGCTGTGTATTACCTCTTTCCAAAGCTGAGATTGCAATGGAAACTACAGCGTTGGGAAGATTAATATTCTCCCATTGTAGGATATGTAGAATTATACATATTTCCAAAGATACAATCAGAGGGGGAAAGCTTGACTGAAATAGAAATATAATGGCTTTCTGCAAAGATGGTGTGCATGGGGGGAAAGGCATTGAAGCCCAGCAACAAATGTGACTAACGCCAGTGTCGTTTCCATGTACAAACCATTAAAATCACATTCACACTCAATCCAGCAGAGATGAAGTAGGCAAGAGTACTCTGGACTGAGATGGTTCTTGAATCATTATATTTCCCAGTGACTCACCCACTGGCTGAGAAGTGCATGGCACCAGCCTGCAGAGTCACTAGGAAGATCCATGTTAACAGCTTTCAGTGTTTAGGGAAGCAGTTGTTCTTTCGGGTATGGACTGTCTCCTTCCTGCAATGAGCATGTAGCAATACCTCGGCCACAGCTCAGACAAGCCCATGAGTTGTCACAGACCTACCCCAGCTTTGTTCTCCTTTTTATGGGCTTATTAACATAATATCAAAGATCTTAGGAGAACAGGCATCCTTTTACTATGGGCTAGAGAAACCTGAATCACCTAGAAGGAAACCCAGCATGAATACCAATAGCAGAAGCCTGAAAGAATCATTTAATTCAAGTGGTGAGTGGATTATCTTCACGTTTTTAATAAAAGTTGCCATTTAAGAGGAAATGTCCTCTCAGCATGGCAAAAGTGGAATAAAGCCAAAAGCTAAGAAAGTTATTTATTTGGATTACAAAAGATAAAAATGACTATTTACGGATGCTAGCTATTAACATATTTTGCCCCCACAGAGATGGTAGGCATAAGAGAGAGGCGGCTTCATTTTCTGAATCTGTGAAGAGATTAATGAAGTCACAAAAATCCAGCACAATGATATCTGGTTTGATGCAATATTGATAATGATACCAATACATATGGATATCTGTTTATGCAGACCCAAACCTCACTTAACATGGAAGCCAATGTGGACAATAAGGTCTTGCTGATCTCTCTGTGTGTTTCCAGTCCTTACCTCTGATTTCAAAGCAAATGTCTCACGGAGTGTCTCTCCGGGTCTGATTCTAGCAACATTAAAAAGAACTGTGAACTGCATGTCATCTTTGGTGAGTGGGTCTTCATCACACACTGCCAATTCTAAAATGTTCTGGTAGTAGAAGAAAATAAATAAGAACTCTTACTGAGCTGCTATTACACAGAAATAAAAAAATGGTTATAGACTTTTGCAGCTGATTGACTAGCACAGTGGTAAGAATAAAGAAACCTGTGCTTTCCTTCAGGAGTTTGCTAATGTGGAACACTGTCATTAAACCCAACCTTGGGAAACTTATCATGGAATAGAAGACAACTACCTATAACAGAGAGCTCCCACTATCCTGAGACAGAAAAGATGTCAGTGCTCTGCACCACACTGATAACCTGCCCAAAGAACACACTCAGTTTCTTCGTCTCCAAAGTTCTCTTAACTACGCAGCTTAGGGTAGGATTAAATTTGCTGTCTACTCCACAGCAACTCCTCCACCCCTCCCTTACAACCAGTAGAGGGAAAGCTCTTTCTAAATTAACCATCCAAAACAGCCCAGATGAAGCTTGCTGCAGCAGTACTTACTTCTCTCAGGTGACAACAAAGGGAGTCTGGACTAGCTCAGATGTAGGCATTTATATCACCGATGTCTATAACTAGCTGAGGGGAACACTACTCCATATGTCTGCTGTTTTGGGCTAACCTGGCAGTTGCAAATTCTGTTACACAAGCATTTAGCACAGTTGATCAACAGGGTGTCAACTGAGGATTCCCAGCTATTCAAAATGGTGAAATTTTTTTTACTACCTCAACTTCTCTCTGGATCCTAAAGTAGAAAGTCTCATTCCAGACAGGGTTGTCAGAATTCTTGATGGTTTTGGTCTGAAGCTTTCCATTCAAAGCAGATGGCAGCCACAAGCGCACATAGCAGTCTGATGCAGTCACTGCAGCAGAAAAAAATTAAAAACCCAATGCCAATATTATAGATCAAAAGTAGGGCAAGGCCATGATTCTGGGCACTAATAAATACTACTTTTTTTTTAATAAGTAAAGAGACCATTGGTTGGAAGCAACCAAGGAAAACTATCTTGGTATACTAATACCTGGGTAACTAGAAATTGCAAATGTACACATGCACAAAGTACACTAAGAGCCGTGTTTCCCGTGTGAAGAGAAAGGTATAAAAGACCCCACTGACCATTCATCAGGCATATTCCCTACAATTCCAGTCACCTGTGTTTAAAAAAGTTTAACTGAAACCAGAGCTAGTTCCAAAAAGGGCTGTTAGGATGATTACAGGAAAGAAGAACGTATATTACAGAGAAGATCAGAGGAGACTGGCTTGCTCAGTCCAGCAACACAAACATGCGGAGGGGTCATGACGGCTGTCTAGAAGGGTTAGGTACTAGAGAAGACCTGTTGCAGCTAAAGGCCGGTGTGGGCCCCAGAACACAAGGGCACAAGCGAGTCCAAAATCTTCATCTCACTTCCAGCCTACATCTACTCCTTATGGTTAGTGCAGTCAGTGCCTCGAGCAGCCGTCCTTTGGGAAGAGCCAGGGTGGGAAAGTGCATTTACTTTGTGAAGCTTGACAACGGTGTGATAGGAAATCTCCAAGGTGATGTCTTTCAGAGCTGGAGTCTGGACTTGACTGAAGATTTCTACTGCAGCCCGAGATGCCTAAATACTTCAGACTGGTATCAAGCAGTGAATAACATTGCCCCGCAAGGTTTTGGCAGGAAAGTGGAACTGCCCCTTCAATAGAGTAGATAGAAGAGGTCATTGAAACTCAGAAATACAGGCCTTGTCACACTACCACCTTTCTAGTGTCCACCTCTGGGTGCTGCTATGTGATATCTGCCACAGGAGTACAGGAAGCCCTTCGGCAGGCAGTTACTCGACCAGCACGGGATTCACCCCCTCTGGTCTCCCTCGCATGAGGGCTTGGCCGAGGTCATGCTCCGCCCTGCACGGCGAGACGCGCATGGTCTCAGCTGTAACTCAAGTAACTCACTGCAAAGTGACGCTTTTTTGGCTGAACATGTCGTTTTTCACTAGAGGAATACACAGGCCAGAGGTTTCAAGAGTGTGTGAAAAGGCAGCTCAAGGTCTCTGTCCTGCCTGAGGAACCCATGGGGGACCCCTCCAAAAATGGCAGCTGAACGGCTGGTCCATAGTACACCTTGAGAAGGAGCCATAGGAGGCTGTGAGGGTGAGATAATGAGTTAAAGAAAGCTGAATACAAAAGTACACAGAAAAGTCTGTTTTGCCTGCACGTTCAGCGTGTGCCTAGGGCTGGATCTGTAGAGGCCCTCCTTAACCAGAAACCATCAATATAATTTAACATGACTGGTCATCTGAGGACAGCAAATACCCCAAATGATACTGTATTTTTGAAATTCTTAAATTTACTTTTGATTATCATGTATAATTGATACATTTCAATAAAACATTCCTAAGTACGTGGCCTGTGTGGCAAAATTCCAGTCCATTATATGATTTATACCCATTACAACCATCAAAAAGAAACAACTCCAAGCAGATTTACAGATTGCCCTCACAAGGTCTACCTTCCCTTATTGGCCCAGAAAACTCATCTGGGAGTCTTGTTTTTCACCAGTTCCCTGAAATGCCACTAGATATGTCCTCCAATATAATGATACCTCAGGCATTTGATCTAATTATAGCCCCAGCATTAGTACTTCTATTGCTCTGCTTTATGTACGTTGCTTGTATACTTTCAGAACTTAGGAACATTGCTCACTGCGTAAACTCTGGAAGTGACTAAAAACACAATCAAACCACAACTCACACAGGTCTCTCGACTTGATGTTCTTGGCTTGTATGATTCTTACAGAAAGCATGTGGATGGGGCAAAACTGCATCTGCAGAGAAAACAAACGCAATTAGTTTTATCAGCTCAGAATACAAAAATCTTATGTATTTTGAATAGGACAGTCTGTCCTTGCTGTTTGTCTGTTTGAAATGAGGGGACCACCTCCAGTGGAAGTACACCACGCTAAGACGATAGCACGATTGCACACTGGGCTATTTGCTAAGCAGCTTGAGTAAATGAAGACAGAGAAAGAAAACACAGACTCAGAGAATGGTATGGAAAGCTTCTGTAGTCACCCTAAAGGTGCCTGTTTTCATACAGCTTGATGTATGCATGGCCGTGGTGATGGTTGTACTGCCAATCTGCTGAGGGTCCTCTGCCACAGGTGGGTCAATAGTGGGCCTTTGGAAGGCAATCCTAGGAACTTGCAGCTGCCTGCCTGGGTCCCGGCACAGCACTGACGCTGGTCCAGGACATGGCAGTTACCACAGTGCTTTAAAAGCTTCTGACTTTGTATCCCAACTAGGACCAAATTTTCATGACGCCCGTAAGTAGGCCAAGCTCGCCAAAAGGCACCTACGGGAATGCACTACTGACTTCGAGTGAATGGACCACAGACCCAGCAGAGACCCTTCAGATGAAGAAAAAAGTGCCCTGCTTTGGAGGCATAAAATCACAGAATCCCACATCATCAGGTATCTTGAAAATACTTAATGGGAATAGAACCACTTCCCTTCCAGACATGAGATTTTTTTCTATCATAGGCAAGCTATCATTGTAACGCCTGTTTCAAGTTACTTCTTCCTAACTCTAAGAAAGAATTAAGCTTCCCAACCTAAGCTGGTCAGAAAGTATTTGTCCTTTTTCAACGACATTCCGATAAGCCTGAAAAAAGGCACATATACAGACACATGACAATTTTAATACTGAAAGCAGGAAAATATTTCTTTCTTTTTTCAAATTGGAACATTTATATTTCTTTTTCATGTTCTTTTGAGTGTTTATCTATTTTTTTGCATATTAGCATGGCAATAATAAGCAATAATAACATACGGTCCTGCTACTACTAATAAATTAAAACAGGGCCACACCATGATGGAACTGTTCCATTGGTTTGAATGGCAGCTTAAACTACACACTTGACTGAAACATCGTATCTATTTGTCGAAATGAGAGTATCCCTGTATTACACTGTAACAAAATAATTTGACAATTTTATTTTGAAAGGTAGCACCAGGATTAAATTTCCTGACACTGAAATTATTAACTTTGGAGGCACAAGGAGCTGGGGAAGGAGGAACTTCTCCATAGAAGGAGTCACTCCCTTTTAAAATGGGGTGGGACTACAGGACACGTTTATTAGAGATGAGAATAGCCTTCATTCAGTTTCATTCAGTTTTGTTTAGAGGTAAACTATGTTACATCAAATGTATACCGTTTGAACTGTGAATTAGCACGTTCAAATAAAGGCTGAATATTAAATTTTATGATGTCACCTTTAAAGTTTCACCCTTTTAAAATTCAGATTAATATTCAAGAGTCACCCTGAGCAGAGAAACCCTGTTGTTAAACCTACAAAATCACAGATTACTCTGTCTCTTGGCCTCTTAATGGTTGATTGAAACACTTTTTGTATAAAAATGCAAGATGTATTTGTTCTTGTGTGACAAGAATCATTTTTATTATGTTTTCTTCCAATTTGAAACTGACATATTTAAAACCTTCTGAGTTTAATGCACTATGGACATCACAAGTTCCAGTTAGGTCACTTCCATATTATTCCAGTTGCCCACTGCAAGAATTTGACTTTAATTTTCCTGTGCATATAGTTATTTAACATAGAAGTACCAACTGGAACACTCAGTCAGCATTCCTAGTGGGTTTCATTAACGTGAAATATTGGATTATGTAGCCAATTACAGGGCTGACTTTTTAATTAATATGTTAATTCTGTGTTATTTTGTAATCAACTTCCCCCTTGCTCAACAGAAGCCCAAACCATTCTCAGAGTCTGCCTTCACTGGAGAAATGGATGTTGGTATACAATTTGCTTTGAACCTTTTGTGATGAAAATTTCATAATTGCTTACAAAAATGTCTGCAGTTCACCATCAGAGTGATAGGTGTCTGTTTTCATCCTCTCCCACTAGAGCCAGAGAGCCTCACTCCTCCTCCCTTCCCCTTCCAACATCAATCACTTCCCTTAAACATGACAACCTCTGCCCGCCAATGGTAATATCATCAAGGATGACAGTTCACTACTTCTGATTTGGTGCAGCTTAGTCCTTGTGTTGTGGCAGGGTAAAAGATAAACAGATTCAGATGGGTAAATGTGGCCATAATAAACCCTATGGGTTGTGCAAATCCCCAGGGGAAGCCAGAAGCCATCCTGCTCCCAAGACTGCAGTTACTCCAGCCTGTGATAACCTTCCAGAATTGGGCTAATTCTTTTTTCATCAGAAAAAGGTGGAGCTAATTTTCAGCCTATTGAGGTCTGATTTGGGTGGTCTAAAATAACAATTTTGCCCAAAAGTGCTGGCGCTCCAAACACCCTTCTAGAAAAAATAGTTGTGGTTACAGATACCATTTGCTATTTTCATAACATGAAGAGCAATATGTAATTTCATGATTAATGCAAATTGATAAGCACAAACACCATATCCAGACAGCTCTTGACAGTCTTGCAACTGTACTGGTCTTGCTCTTTTTAGTTCACTTCCAAGGAAGAACCATAGTTTCCTGCACAAGCACACAGAAGTAACAAAACCCCTCTGTAAATACCCAGAGTCAAAGGTAGCTTTCCCAGAAGTGCATCATTCTATTTTTGCTGGAAAATTAGTAGTGGCACATTGAGGCCAATGACAGAGTGCAGGATTCAGCTACCTGTGTATGTTTGCATTCTAGACAATAACACTCCAGACCAATAAATAGTAGCATGTCCAAAGTCCCAAAGAGTAGGTTAAAAAATGCAAAAAAACCAACCCCAAAACCCGAACTTCCTTTCACTTGATAGCATTTAGCACTAAGCTACATTTCTGTACTCTCAAAGCAAGTTTTGGGCGAGCCATTTCAGGTCTAAAATACAGAAAAGTCAATAACAGGAGATAAAACTAGCATGGCAGAATTGCCACAGCTGTGTCAAACTTTAACAAACTGAAAATTCACATCTGTTGCCAACATCTCACTGATTGTAATAATACACATTTGCTGGCTTACTGTCTGGCTTCCAGAGAATAGTCACATGCCAGTCAGCTTCAAGAGGACACGTAATTCTCCTGTTTATAGGCGGTTAGTCACTTCAAGGTTTCATCCCAAAAAGACAACTTTGAGAGTATGAAATCTTCTCAAAGCTCATTAATAATGAGGAGCCTACCTAGATGGTCTTTGGATGGCAATGAAAGAAGAAAAACCTACCAACAGCTCATATCTTTGATTTCACTCCTTATTGCCCCTCCGTGCTGCTCCTACAACAAGATCTCATGGCTACCTTCACTAGAAAGTTATTGTTCTAGCGGGTGGTTTCTGCAGAGCCGGGCAATCTGGGAACCTCCTCCCATCACCACCTCTTTTTTCTTTTCTTTTTATTTTTGAAAAAAGTCCTTGTTTTGTACATGTTGGAAGGCTGATTGGAATCTCAGCGTTTTGCTCCCCCTGCACCAAACCTAAACAGTTCTCTGAGCGGAGTTATCACCATGGGATAACACCACGTTATATGCAGTTTTATATGAGGAGTCCGCTTTCTGCCTTTTGACATTCTGTAAACAGCTGTAGGATTTATCACTCAGTTTTATTACTCAGTATCTTTCAGACATGAACAATTACTTCCTTTCATGGATTACTTTTTCTTTCTCCAGTGGTGTACTAGAAGCAGTACAATACCTTATGTACAAGATCTCACACCAAATGTAATCATTATGCATATACTAACCACTTATTTTATCTTAGATACTGAGGATTTGGTTCAATTACAACTTGGCAATTTATCAAATCAAGGTTAAAGCTATAAACTTATAAACTATAAAAAAGCTTCATGACCAGCCTGGTTCCAAAGCACTCTCTTCCACATAGATTCTTTAACATCTAATATGGACTGAGTTTATTAGCCCCTCCATCAGTGAGAATACTGCTAGCAATTTGCCCTTCCAACCAGCTGCCTGTTTTCATTAAACTTAGAGGAACGCAAAGTTCTGGTGGGAAAAGCGACTGATTGAAGAAATATGCAAAACCAGGAGAGGGGATAGAAGGAGAGAGCATGACCATGAAACCCTCATTTTCCTTGGGAATCACAATTATCCAAAACCTTGTCATTGGAAGTTGGACAGTTAGTGAGTAAATCTAATTTGCCTTACAAACATTTACTGTAATTTCATGTTGTCACTGATGGATTGTTTCAAGAGTCATTGTGGATTTGGGATGCATCCCCTGTTCATATTCTGTCAGTCACCTCTTTACATGTATGAGTGGGTCCCTTAGGGCTTTGTATTGACAGAATTTCTGAGTATTTTACCACATAAAAATTATTCCGTAGTTCACAAAATAAAACTGCAAAAGAGTGATTATTCTTGTCTGAGCAGAAGAAAAGACCCTGTTACGAATATCAAAAGCATTCCCAGCAAGTTGTAAATTAACGTTGTCCATCACTTCTATGCCAATTTGGTAGCTTTTTTAAACAGCAAAAAATTAACTGGGAGACTTTTAGTAGGTCTTCCTAGATAGATCAAAGTATCCACGCTTTTCTAAACAACTTGCTTTTCTTAATATAAAAGAAAAGAAAAGAAAAAAAAAAGAAAACCACTCTGTTCTGATTTTCGTATCTATTTACCAATTTACACATACTGAAAAATACATTTGCCTGACAGAATGGCAGAGCTACCTGCAGTATTGCATGAATGTCCTTCCTTGGGAACAGAAGCTTTCTGACCTGAAGCTATGCTTGTACTCTAACCTTTTGGCTGTGTTGCCTATTAACCAGGAGTATGTCTATACTCATGGAACAGCAGTTGCAGCATTAGGATGAAATGCAAGAACTTTCGCTGTAATTGAGACTTTC